AGATTGTAGATCTAGAGAAATTTATCGTAAAACTAAATGAAAAAGACAGTTGAAAATTGATATAAGTGTTGGAACGTAATAAATACAGCAAACGGACGTATTGTTAAAGTTAAAACCGACAGAAAATTAGCTTTAGAACGCGTTAAACATTGGAATGGGAACACAATCTTCTTTGATAGGCCGCCATTATTGATGTAAAAAAAAATAAACACATCATGTGACGTCACTGTTTCCGTCGAGTCTAGTGGTTTTTTTAATCTTTTAAAAAAATGTGGTTAATCTACCTATGAATAAATCAATAAATTAATTTACGTCTTTAAATAAATTTGTGATTAACAGTCTGTCTGCATTAAAAAATTATTCTCTACCTACATACTATTTTACAGCTCTCCAGATAGAGTAGAACTTATCACAATACTCGATCAGCCAAACAAAAAAAACAAACAAAAAAAAAACCAAATAAATATTCAAACATGTAAACAAGCTTGAGTTTTAGTAGTATATATATATATATATATATATATATATATATATATATATATATATATATATATATATATATATATATATATATATATATTTAGTGGTCATGTTTTATAACACTTATGTAAAAATGTAAAAACTATTACACTTGATTTTGTCGTTGTCTAAATCTTAATTTCCTTATCTAACAAAATGGGTTCTCGCGAAAAAAAATGATTCTGTTAATGTATTAAAACATCACCTATTTCTTTATTTCTTTCAGATATTTGCCTGATGTAAGAAGACCTTGTTAGACTATGCTAATGAAGTGCAAAGTTTTCTTATTTTGGCTTGTAAGCTGCTTGGGTACGTTTTTATTTCTTGACATCACTATGAGCACACACCCATGGTTTCTAGTATCCTTTATTTATTTAACGAATGCTACACACACACACATATACATACACACACACACACACATATATATATATATATATATATATATATATATATATATATATATATATATATATATATATATATATATATATATATATATATAATGAGATAACAAGTTTTGAGACTTATTGCGAAAAATCCAGATTAAAGTCTTTATCTTTTCCTCACCATATTTTTATAGTTACCCGAATTTGTGAAGCGATAAATTACACCGTGAAGGCTGGAGACAAATTTGAATGTAAAACTGAAATAATGTTTTCTAAATACGATGTTATTTGGACTCTAACAGCATCTAATGGAACAGCAATAAAAATATTCACCTATGATTCTCAGTTGAAAAACTACATAGACGTATCTTATAATCCAGGTAAAGTTGATCTGTTTATAATACAATATTACTTATTAGACGTTCTGAAAATCAAAAAGATCAATTTTTGTGTTTTTATAGCTAAATTGCAATATCGTTTTACATTATGTACTGTGGATCAATAATTATCCATGACATACAAATACAACTAGAAGTCACCTAATATTTATATACCGAAACATTTTTGAGCCTTTTAGGGACAATAACTAAACACTAGCTTACGTTAGGTTTACATTTCCTTGTACCATTCTTGTACCAGCTGTCGAGCCTCATCTTCTCGAAAGTTCGAACTCGAAACTTTTCGGTTTTGCAACCATGAGCTTAAACGAGCCAACCACGCCGACCCCTAGATGACAGCTAATAGTCTTGATTTTTCCAATGAATCTAATCTATTCTTTAAAAATGTAGGTCTAATTGTATGTATGCAATGTAGGTCGTACAGCCAAGTAATTAATAAAACAAATTAAACGAAACTTTAACTCCCTTAATCTGTGCCTATATACTCATAAAACAGTATCCGATAAAAGCAAAAATATTTTTTTGTAAAAAGTAAAATATTGTAATTAATTGGAAATAAAAGTTTGTGATTTTATAAGCGACCTAGTTGGAGGAACATACTATAAGTTAAGGCTTTTAATTATTCATTCACACTGCGAACACGTAATACAATATCCTTTGTCATCGAGAGATTTCTTGCCAAGTAGAAATGAGTGTAAATCTATAAAATTAATATTTATTTCAAACGATTTGACGGGGAGGGGGACACTTAAAATATTAGGGGGAGGCTTATTTAAATACTTGAAGGGGCTCGGAAGACACTAGCTAAAGTAATACAATATATTTTAAATTTAAAGTATATACTGTTACCTATATCGCCAAAGGGAACTGTGCACTGTATGGAGGAAGGATGGGGAGGGGGGGGGCATAGCCACACCCTAAGAGATACCGGAAAGAAACTGCATATGCCCCAACACATTAAATTTAACAAACGCAGTTGATTTTTGTTTTAATTTAATAATTATAAATTTCGTGTTTTAAGAAAAATAATTATGTATTACAGAAAGATATTAATTTTTTCCTTTAGCGCCAACACTACCTAAACCAAAAGAAGAGAATATTTTCAAGAACAACATGCGAATTCTGGGACCACTGATTGGACCTCTTATTTTTATCACCATCGTACTGGGAATGATATGGGACGGAGTGGTCTAGCGGTAGAGAGCTGGACTGCTAACCCGTTAGTCTCGAGTTCGAATCCGGGTTCAAGTCAGTAGACCGTCCCTGAGTCCACCCAACTCTGATGGGTACCTAACTCATGTTAGGGAAAGTAAAGGCGGCTGGGCATAGTGCTGACCACACTATCTCTTCATATGCCGAGGTCACAGAAACAAGTGAACTCTACTTCACTTGCCCCATAGACCGTCAGGTTTGAAAGGGAAACTTTACTTTTTTACTGGGAATGATAATATGCTGTTGCTGTTGTTCAAGAAAAAAATGCAGGAACCGATCAGCAAATAGAACTACAGAGGCAATAGGCGTTAGTGAAAGTAATACGATGTTTACTGTTATGCAAAATTCTAACTCGCAAGATAATTGTGTTGTAAGCAGCATTAACCAAAGTCATATGAACCAAAATTTTAACTCAAGCAGCTTAACATTTCAATTTCCTGTACATCGGGCAACATCAACCCGAAACGTAAACCTAGCTCATACAACGCCACGCCAAGACGACACTCTACGCCACACACCGACATCAACGTCCTTACAAGCTATCCCTCTATGTCATACATCATATGAACACTACACTCAAAACCAAATAGCATCGACGCGAAAAGTCATTCCAAACCAGTTAATGTCACAGCGAAATTTAAACCCAAGTCACACAATTTTACAGAGAACTACCTCCGTTTTTTCTATTGCTCAATCGTCACCCTTGAACCAGACGCATGCCACACATGAACTAAACACACCGATCTTTGATCCACCGCCCTACACAAGCCTCTTTCCCACCAACCCCCCACCATCCCACGCAGCGTCATCAGACGCTCCCCCACAATACAACACCTAACATTCAATCGCACCACCATATCATTCAACTACATCTGTATATAAGAAATAATTACCTATACCTTCAAACACTTTCATCCAAGTATCGTAAATAATAACCCCATAATTTTGAAAAAAAAAAAACAAGTCTTATAGTGAAAATCAACCCTGTGTATTTAGCCAAAACAAAGACTTTAAGAAAATGACTTGGAGATCACTCACTGACTGTAGTGAGATAATGTGGGCTTTATAAGCTGGGATGAATGCAGTGTTTAGTAGTAACACTACAACCACCATAAAGTCACTATAGACGAATGCATGACGGAACTATTCCCGTGTACTCAAACATATTTTCTACTATTTTATATCAAAACCGGCTGTACAATCTTCCAATGATGGATTCATGTTATTTCTGTTTATTAACTAACGCACAAGCACATGTGTTTGAACCACATGCTGTGAAAATACTGAAACACGTGTTGTTGTTTTTCGTCTTGACAACTTAAGTACATTGATCTGGTGCTTTTTTTTTAAGTTTTCGATTCTATGTTAGGTTAATAGTTATATACCTTATTTTTACAGATGAATTACTTGGTCACTGAAATAAGAAGAGATGTAGTTTTATTTTTGGTAAATTGTATTTCTCTGTATCATTGTCCGATTTTGTGTGTGTGTCACTTCTCATTATTGTTTAATAGATCAATGTTTGATACGCATAAACATAACATGCTTACTATATTAAAAAATTAGACATGTATTATGTAATAAACAATGTCGTATACCTCAGAATGTGTTATTTCTACATACTTTTGAGCATTTTTTGTACCAACTAAAATGGTTTCTAAAAATAGCTATTACAGCAACGTAAACTAATATTATACTATTAATATAAATATACAAAGCCATACCGAATACAGTTAGAGATATTGTCATAACAACGCACCATTAATAATGTGTGTACTTAGCTTTCCGTACATTAAAATGTAAATAAACCGGGAGTGATCTCCCCTAAACTTTCTCGAATATTCTTATATAAAACAATTGGGGATGGCAACTGGGGATGAAGACATGTTTTTTAATCCATTTTAAATACTTAAGTGAACGCCTAATAAAATGTGCATAATAGTGCGGAATATTATTAGTACTTTATAAATTCACATGCTTTTTGAGAAATCGGAAATAGCGAAAATTACTACTTCCGGTCAACGGAAATTACTCAAAATTTGACAGAAGACGGAGAATTAGATATTTTACTGACTTGTGAAATTTCATTTATTTATCTGAAATAGTATTCGAGTTATAGACTTTTTACAGATCTACGATTTTAATTTAATACTAATAGATGAAATTTCATCAATCTACTTGTAACGGTACTCAAGTTATCGTGTTTACACACACACACACACACACAGACACACAGACACACAGACATACGGACAAGACTGCAAAACAATGTTTTTCCGACTCCGGGAGCCCTAAAACGTCGAGATTTGCAAAAATCTCGATTTTTTTTGCACGATTACAAGACTTTCTATATACTTCGTCTATAAGAGAAAGTAAAAAAGAGAAGGGTATGTCAGAATGTGCAACCATATTACATGTCTTTTGACAATCACAAATATTGCTTTGTTAATTTTTTGCGCAAAACATATTGACAACGTATACTTTAAAAGAATTATACTTGTAATATTATTTATAATAAAGAAAAAGAAAAACAGGAATACCATTTACACCTTTACTAAGGAAAAAAAATAATTATTTACAAATTTAAAAATTAAATTTGCCATATTAAATGATTTATTTTGTGATTTTATAGAAGAAAAACTGAAAAGCAAATTTACTTTAATTGATTGTCAAGCGGACAGTGCATTTAAAAGCTTATTGTTACAATTGATTTTTTATGTATATTATTTTTCATAAACTTTTATGTAGTTGACATATCATATATATATATATATATATATATATATATATATATATATATATATATATTAAATTAATATTTTATTTAGCCAGATAACAATATATATATATATATATAATTTTTTTATTTAGCCAGATACCCACACACTACACAGCAGTCCAGCTTTAAATGTTAAAACCCCTCATTTTAACATCCCCATTATTAATCCGCAACATTATATTTAGAATCTTCTCTACAAAAAAGATTTTGTAAAACAACCCCTTCTTACTTATAAGACGTAGAAACGACAAAGAATTAAATCGTAGTCTTAGTTTCTCGCCACAAATAAACTTATTTTCTTCCAAAGACATTGCTTCGCTTACTTTGTTGTTCATAGTTTGTTGTCTTTAGAAATTAGACATTTCTATGAAAAAGTAAAATTACTTCCGTTTTTCTAATTCAACATTTGATCCAATAGTCTTTTTGATACTTTTATATTAGAGCGTTTATATATATATATATATATATATATATATATATATATATATATATATATATATATATATAAAACTATCTGAAGCTGAATATATATTTCCAAACAGAACTAAAAAAATAATATTTCATGACCTTCTAAACGGATACATCGCAACATGCCTCTTTCAGCTATTCTGTTCTTATTATTTTCACCACACAATTTAACTATTAAGCTATTAATAAATGTTTAGGCCTTTATAAATAGAATCTTGAATTATCTACGTTTATATTCCAAAAAGCCTTCTAATGTTATTTTCTTTTTAATAATAATTTGCAAGACCGCATATTTCTATAATTAGTCTAATTTTTTATGATAAAACATCCTACTGTGTTTGACTTTTGTTGTTTGAATAATGTTAATAGAGTGGGATTTATAAAAAAAAAACGTTGGTTTATAATTATTTTTTTCTGTTGGCAAAGTCTGTGATGTATACATGTATACATTGAACATGTATTATTTTTTTGTTTCGCCAAACTTGTTTTCGGAATATAATTTGCTTTAAAACGATATGGCTCAAACCAGTGATTTACTGCAACGTTTTTAATTTACCTTTAAAACCTGACGGTCTACGGTGCACGTGAAGTAGAGTTCACCTCTTTCTTTGACCCCAACGTGCCTTAGTAGAGATGGGCGGACTCTTGGATGTTCTAATGATTTTAACCCGGATTAGAACTCAAGACTTTCGGATTAGCAGTCTAGCTCTCTATCCCTAGACCACACCGTCCCATTTACTGATTACTTACTTAATCTTTGTTATACACGTAGAGGTGTTTGAATAATTCAAATGCAAAAATAATTAAAAACATAACCATACATAATATCCAGTATAACCAAGATATTACATTTTAAGAAACTACAAACACATAACAATATATTATTAATTTCCCTGTTATGTTATTAGACTAGCTTACACGTTGTAAGGATTATTGATTACCTCATTACATATGACCCCGGTAGTTTCACTGACCCGTGACTGCCAGCCATGTGTCACAGGTGTACTTAAATCTTCTGACGTAAACGGTATTGATGTTTTAAAACGTGGTCACCATCAAGGCAGTTTTATACAGCAAAGCAACGTATACGTAAGTCATTTATATGCTGGATCAAAAAATAATTTATTACATTCAGATTTAATGTAGGATTTATTCATATTCATGCTAAAATCGGTGCCTCAAACAATGCTTAAAATTGATTTGTCTTAAATGTATTTTAAAAATTAATTTAGTGAAGTATGTAATAATTAATTTCATGCGTGCTCCTTAGTCTAGCAGGTAAAAGACACAGTTGAAAATTAAATACGGTAATAATAGTTGATTTTTAGTTTTGTTTGCTTTCATATAAAAAAAAACTAAAAGTAGACATCCCAATCAAAACATAACAAGCTGACATAGATTAATAAATTGTATTTAATGTTAAATACTTTTACAAGCGCCAGTTTTCAAAACTGAGCATGTTTAGCGAAATTGTCTTGTTATATGAGTTACATAATTAATTATTAAAAACCCTTTTTTTTAATAAATTAAAGGGATTAGAGGTATTTTTTTACAATAAGGCTGTATAATTAGAGGCATAACAATTTCTTCTGCTCCTATTATATTAAAGGTAAGTCTAATGAGTTTGTGTTTTGTAATCTCGTTAATTTTGTCAGTTTGTAAAATTGTGTACACTTGTGTCAAATTCACTAAACAAATGTCCCGTTTACATTTTGTTTGAAAAAAACATTAATTG